TATCCAAATTTATATTATTCATATATATTATTCAAATACATATATTTATATATAGAAATATATCGAATATGATTTGATTTATATAATCTTTATTTTTAGAAAAAGATTTTATAATTATATTATAATTAACTTAATTTTATTTGAATTGTTCGAATTGTATAATCATCAATTACTGACACTGGTAAACGGCCCAAAGCAATTTGATTATAATTCAATTCGTGACGATCATAAGTCGAAAGTTCATATTCTTCAGTCATTGATAAACAATTTGTTGGACAATACTCAATACAGTTACCACAAAATATACAGATTCCGAAATCAATACTGTAATTAAGCAATCGTTTCTTTCGAATATCAGTTTCCAGTTTCCAATCAACAACGGGTAGATCTATGGGACATACACGAACACATACTTCACAAGCAATGCATTTATCAAATTCGAAATGTATTCGACCACGGAAACGTTCCGATGTGATTATTTTTTCATAAGGATATTGAATAGTTACAGGTAAACGATTTGCGTGAGATAAGGTAATCGTGAAACTTTGACCAATGTACCTTGCAGCTCGGACTGTTTGTTGACCATAATTCATAAATCCAGTTATCATAAGGAACATATCGTGAATATCTCTGATTATTTTTGTTTTTTTTCTTTCTCTTGTTTGAGACAAGTTATGAATATAGAAGGTCCGTTTTTTATAGTGAAAACAATTGAGACGAAGTTGTTAATAATAGATTACCGAGAGAAATGGGTAAAAGAAACTTCCATCCAAAATTTAATAATTGATCTATTCTTAGCCTAGGTAAAGTCCATCTTGTTGTGATAGAAACGAATAAGAACAAATAAGTTTTAGCTAGTGTAATAAAGATACCAATTGTTGTTACAAAAACTCCATATGCTTTATTTATTTCAAAAAATTCAGAAACAAATATGTACGGAATAGAGATATTCGGACCACCAAAGTAAAGAACTGTTACAAACAAGGAAGAAATTAATAGGTTTAAATAGGAAGCAATGTAAAATAAGCCAAATTTGATACCCGAATATTCGGTTTGATAACCCGCTATTAATTCTTCTTCCGCTTCTGGTAAATCAAAAGGTAATCTTTCACATTCTGCTAAAGAAGAAATTAGAAAAACGATGAAACCCATAGGTTGACGCCACAAATTCCATCCCCAAAAACCATATTTGGATTGCGCTTCAACTATATCAACTGTACTTAAGCTGTTAGATAATCCTAGTCGGTGATAACATTACTGTTCCCATCTCTATTACAGAACCGTACATGAGATTTTTCACCTCATACGGCTCCTTTTAAGCCTTCAATAAATCTAAGGACCAGACCGATTATTTATCTCTTGATATATTTATAAAATGGATAAGATTCGATTTTATCGGACGGTTCTGAATTAGACCAATTGAATTCTGTCTGTTTTGTTTTATTTAATGAAAAAATTAATAATAAAGAAAAATACATTTCAAATTTTATTTGAATAAATAAAAGATACAAAAAGTACTTCTGAATTGATCTTATCCCTTTAAAAAAAAATTGGAATTTGTTGAGTAATAACTGAATTCTTCAATAAAATACTCTTTATAGAATTCTCAATAACTTCTCCATCATTTTCGATTACAAAAAAGAATTATACATTCGTTTTCTGAATTATGACATGAATTCCATCTTCCTAGAATATAGATGTAAGAAAAAAAAAGAAAAAGGGTATCACTTTTTCTTTCGCTCCTAGCCTTTTTTTGTGCAACTAAAAAGGGACTCAAAAAAAAAAGTGAATTAATGAAAACAAAAGTAAAGGATTATTTCGTTCCTGATAGTCATTTATTTAATCAGTGGATGGGAGCATACTCTGGATCGGAATTGTAGGGAGTACTGCCTGATTTTTTCTACCAACTTAAAGCCCCAATTAGTATTCTTTTTCTATTATGTATAAATGCTCTTTTGGATATTTAAAAAAATTTGCGTTACTAATCCTTTGTGTATTTTGGTGTTTCTACCCATCCATTCATTTTTTTATTAAACCCCTTTAGTTATGTTAATACATGTATGATAATTCATACAAATGATAGTGAAAACTCAAAAAAAAGGTTGGTTTTTCTTTTGTGCCCGCTTCAAGACAGGATGACTAATCAACCAACCTTGGGGGTAAATGACCTCTTCTACTGAAGAAATAGAATAGAATTTTTTTTTTCACTTAATTCTTATACATGGAAAATGAGACTCAATATTTTGACTGCAATTTTAACTCCTCATACTATCTATTAACTATAAGTAATATATAACTATAAGTAATATAGTATATATATAGAATTAATAAATTCTATTCAATAGAAGCTGTTTTATTTCACTCATATAACTATCTGATTAAATTCTTCAATCCGAATTTCGAAAAAGAATAATGATAAGGATATATATTCAATTTATTATCCTTCTTTACTAGAAAGCACTATAAAGAAAGGGGGGAGTATAGCAATAGTATCGAAAAGCTTCTGTCTCAACGAATCGCACGTAGAGATATTGATAACACACATAGAGTTAATGGTATTTCATAACTAATCGATTGAGCAGCAGCTCGTAGACCACCCAAAAAGGAATATTTATTATTTGACCCATATCCTGACATAAGAAGTCCAATGGGAGCAATACTTGAAATAGCAATCCATAAAAAAACACCGATATTGAGGTCAGATAAAACAAAGTTATAATTAAAAGGAATTACTGAATAGCTTATTATAATTGATATGACTGATATGAATGGTCCGATACTGAATAAATTAATATCTCCTCTAGATGGAATAAGATTCTCCTTGAAAAGTAGTTTTGTTCCGTCTGCTAGAGCTTGAAGAACTCCAAAAGGACCAGCATATTCAGGTCCAATACGCTGTTGTATCCCTGCGGATATTTCTCTTTCTAACCATACAATTGCTAGTACACTTATTGTGATTCCTAATACAAGAATAAAAATAGGGGCAAATACCCATAGAATTCCATATACCTCTTTAAAAGATTCCAATCTGAAAAAAAAATGGATATCTTGTATTTCTGTTGTATCAATTATCATTTCAACGATCAACCTCTCCCATAATGATATCTATGCTACCTAGTATTGTCATAATATCGGCCAATTTCATTGTTTTAACTAATTGAGGAAGAATTTGCAAATTGATAAAACCCGGTGGACGAATTTTCCATCTCCAAGGAAAACCATTTTGATCACCTATTAGAAAAATTCCTAATTCTCCCTTAGGAGCCTCAACTCTTACATAAAGTTCTTGTTTCGGCAATTCAAAAGTCGGAGACGCTTTTTTACTAATAAATCGATATTCAAAATCATTCCATTCTGGCTCTGTTTCTTTATCTAAGCAGCGAATTTCTAAATTTTCATATGGTCCGCCGGGAATTCCTTCCAAAGCCTGTTGAATAATTTTTATAGATTCCGTCATTTCACCAATTCGAACTAAATAACGAGCTAACGAATCTCCTTCTTTTTGCCATTGAACTTCCCAATCAAATTCCTCATAACACTCATAATTATCAACTTTACGTAGATCCCATTGTATTCCGGAAGCCCGAAGCATTGGTCCTGATAAACCCCAATTTATTACTTCCTCTCCATCAACAACGCCTACTCCCTCAACCCGTTCTAAAAAAATAGGATTTCGCATAATAAGTCTTTGATATTCAACAACCTTTGTTAAAAAATAATCGCAGAATTCAAAACATTTATCTATCCAACCATGAGGTAAATCAGCCGCTACCCCTCCGATACGAAAAAAATTATGCATCATTCTCATACCTGTCGCAGCTTCGAATAGATCATATATTAATTCTCTTTCTCGGAAAATATAGAAGAAAGGGGTTTGTGCACCAATATCTGCCATAAAAGGTCCCAGCCACAGTAGATGAGAAGCTATACGACTCAACTCTAACATAATTACTCGGATATAGCTAGCTCTTTTAGGTACTTGAATATTTCCCAACTGTTCTGGTCCGTTTACAGTTATTGCTTCTGTGAACATAGTAGCTAAATAATCCCAACGTGTTACATAAGGGAGATATTGTATAATTGTTCGGTTTTCTGCAATTTTTTCCATCCCTCTGTGTAAATAACCCAATATTGGTTCACAATCAATAACATCCTCACCATCCAGAGTAACAATAAGTCGAAGAACACCATGCATTGATGGGTGGTGAGGTCCCATATTTACTATCATGAGGTCCTTTCTTGTAGCTGGGATATTCATAGATTTTTTTCCTCGATTCATAGAAGAATGAATCGCTTTAAAAAAAAAAAAAAATTCATCAAAATTCAAGATCTAATAAATCGAATAATTGAAAATGACTCTTCAAATTAACGAATTTGTGACTCCCGAATATCAAACTGATTTATTAATTTTTTATAACGTATTCTACTTTTTTTTGACAAATAAGACAGTAATCGTTGCCGTTTTCCCAGAATTTTACGTAAACCCCTTTGAGATAAATAGTCTTTTCGGTGCAATTCAAAATGCGAAGTAAGTCTTCGTATCTTATTGGTAAAATGGAATATTTGAAATTCAACTGATCCCGGGTTTTCTTCTTTTTTTTCTTCTGAAATAACAGGTATAAATGAATTTTTTACCATAAAAAAATGAAATGAAAGCTTTCCTCTTCCCCTCGCTTTTGATAAATATTTTTATTGATCAGTAATAGTAATGATACTCATTTTTGTATATAAATCTGAATTTCCTTAGGAATTCCTGATTGAATTCATTCTTTCTTATTAATCAATCCAATCTAAATAGATAGAAAAGATACCATATTTATGGATTCACCAAATAACAAATTGTATGCTTGAAAAATAAAAGACAATTTTGTTGATTCTTTTTTCGATCTAATGGATACATCATTAGATTAGTATCAATGCCACAATGTGTGTTCCCATTTATGTTATGTATATAACAATTTGTCTTCATATACCAGATATATATTATGGTAAATAGAAGACAAATTTCGATTAACGAATTTTCAATCGCGGATACATATGTAGCCTTACTATATTGAAACGACTTCCATTATGGGTATTAAACCAATAGCGATTTATACAAGCTAATTCTTCTAATCTATAATTTGGCCAAAGAAAAATTTGGAAATTCATTAGTTTTTTTTTATCTCTGTCAAGATCTTTTCGTTTTTGAGTCAAAAAATTATTACCTTTATTTTCATTGTAAAATATTGTGTTTCTATGCATACTATTTATATTCTTAGGATTTAAACAAATTACAATTCTCAACTCTCTACGACGTCTAGCGGATAAAATATTTTCAGGAACAAGCAAATTATAATTTTTTTTTTTTTTTTTTCTGTTATTTTTGGATCTCTTGTCCGTGTAATGTATTTTTCAAAATTTTTCTTATCAACATTACTTTTTTCGGAGTATTTTTGATTCATTTTGTACTTACTCTTACGAATTAATGAGATACCCATGGTTTGATACATAAAAAATTGTTTATTGTTTTTTCTAGACAGGCGAACTGGTTTGATAATAAAAAATTCGTTTTTCATAAATTTTGTATTTTCATTTTTCTTCAAGCCTGGAAAAGTGAAATCCTTATGATTTTGAATCAGCATAATTTTTAGATCTAGTTCTTCCCTTTGAATAGAGGTTATAGCAATTTCTCTTAAATTTTTCAATCTAATCAGGAGACAGTATACTTTGACATTATTTAATATTCTTTTACCTAAGAAATTCTTCCAGTCCAAATGAAAAGTAAAAAAAATTCTTGTTAAGAAATTTAGTTTAGCCTTCATCTTGTTCTTGTCTTTCTTTTTCTTTATACCCTTACCATCCTTTTTACTGTCCAATTCCGCAAATTTTTTTTCAATATCTTTTTTTTGGTTTGAGGGAGATGATTCAAGATTTACTCGACCCGCGCATTCTGTTTTTGCTCGATTTTGAGTCTCTAACTCGAATTCCGGAGATTTCTTTTTTTTCGATGGTCTAAAAATATCTATTATTCTTTTCTTTTCAGTAATGTTATTTTGATTTTCACTAACATTTTGATTTATATTTATATTAAAATGGAAAAAAAGTGATTTGATTGGTATGATCCGCGGGTTATTTTGATATTTATATGCATTAGAAAATATCAAAAATTCTGAAACGAAAAAAAATTTCGTACTCGATATGGAACGATTTAGTATTTCTACATTTATTCCCATCCAATCAAAATACTTTCTATCCAGATTTTTTTCCATATCTATAATAGCATCTTCCGCTGTATAATTCTTCATAGAGATATTACTCATTATATCAAATAATTTTTTTTTATGCGTGTTGTAATTAGAAGAAATCGCTTGCTTTTTATTTGCGTGGAATGATGATCTATATCCATAAATATATGAGTCTTTATTTTCCGTATAATTAATAGAGTTATAGGATAAAAGATCATATCTATATTGTTTTTTCATTTTTTTTTTTTTAATGCGTCTATTTGTTCTTCTTTGTAAAGAATTAATCGGGTTTTTTCATAAGAATCACAGTTGGTTAAATCTTTATTTTGAGCCACACGATGTTCATTGATTCTATTTCTCCATTTTTGTGGTACTAATCTAGACCATATGCTTTTAGATAAGTCATATTGATAATGACCCTTTAACCAATTTGTCCATTGATTCATTACAGAATTGGGAGGGTTCTTATGTTTTAATTTGGAATGAAATATTCCTTGTACTCCAAAAAAAGAATCCTTTATTTCATTCTTAAGAAAAAAAAATCTTCCATGATATTGAAAAACATATCTTAACTTATACTTATCTATGTTAATGTTGATTACTTGGTTTTGTGATAATTTAAAAAATACATATGCTTGTGACAAAAAGGAGACGTTACAAGAATTCTGTGAATTCGTATTACTAGTATTGTGTATAATCGAAATAAAGTGAATTATACTTTGATTTGTTTTATCAGTTATTTCTGTATTTACTTCATTATTGTAAATGGATCTATTTATCATTTTTTTTTTTGATTCCAGAAAAAGTTGTATATTGATCCTAGGAATACTAATGATATATAGAAGGATATCTATGTATATCCTTTTCAGGAAAAATTTAAAAAAAAAATGTGATTTACGAGTTAATCGAACATTTCTTATTTGTAATATCTGCAAAATATTTTTTTCTAATTCTAATCTTTTAGTATCATAAGTTGTTTTGTTCGAATGAATATTTATCTCTGAAATTAGAAGTCCCCCTTTCCTTTTTTCTTTTGTCATTTTTTCTATTTGTTTTAGAATAGTTTTTGTTTTAGCATTCAGGTCTTTTATTTTTTTTTTTATCAATGAACAATTTCCCCAATTTATAGATTGAATTGGAATGGTTGATTCGAAAATAATTGGATTATTCTTACAAATTGTTGAATCTTTTTTGTTTTCATTCAATTCATTTATTTTTTTGAGTCTAACAAATAATAAAAATAAAGAATGAAAATTTGTAAAATTAAAAATGAAGAGTTGTTTTATTTTTTTTTTAGAAATAGAATACTTTTGCTGATCCATTTTGCAATATCTTTTGAGATATTTAGAAACCATTTTGTTCTTTCATTTAAAACTTTTAGAACTCGAAAAAAATAATTTTTCAATTTTTTCTTTTTTTTTTGAGTTCTTTAAAAATAGGATCACAAAAAGAAAATCGATTTTTTTGAGAATCAGAAAAGGGCAATTCAACTTCCCTTCCCCAAATTGTTAAAAAACAGAAGTTCTTTTTTTTCACTTTTTTTTTCATTCTATCTTTTTCCTTTTCATTGGATCGTAACTTAGATCTGTGCCAAGGTTTCAGACGAAAAGGAAATAAGATCTTTATCTGAATACCGTCTGTTAGCCATTTTTGGGGAAATTCTGTTTCAGATAATTGAACGCCATTATAGGTACATTTAATATACATTTCTCTCTTCCAATCCCTATAATCTTCTGACCATTCGGGAAATTGAAAAAGTAGTATACGAACGATATTTTTAGTTATTATCAATGAGGGTAATTTAATATATTTTCGAAGAATCGATTGGGTTATTAATAAAAAACCTCTTATTCCTTGAGCAAATATAAAGTTATCCCAGGCTTCTGCTATTTCTATACGTTTTTTTTCCGCATTTTCGTTTATTTTTTTTTTGTCGTCCTCCTCTTTTTTCTCACTTTCTTTTGCCTTTTCCTCTGTATAATCCAAAATTGGAAATTTTGTCTTTTTTCGAATCCAATTTTGGAACAGAAAAAAGATTTTCATTGACTCGAAACTATCAAAAAAAAAGAACAAGCGTTTCTCAAATTTGTCCAAAAAAAGGGGGGAATGCACAGTTCTTTGAAAAAATTTCCAAGTAACTGTTTTACGCCTTTGAGCACGTATGGATCCTTTGATTATGTCTCGCCGAAAATCCGGTTGTTGTGAATAACGTAGTAAAGCCAATTCGTTTTTTTTAGTATTCTCAGTATTTCCAGTATCATTATGGGTACCCTTATTCTGTTTCTGTAAATTTTTAGTAAAAACCACTACACGTTTGGCTTTTCTAGAACGAATCTGAAAATTTTCTGCTTCATTTTTCCCCCCCAGTTGTTTTAATTCGTCGATAAATTTGTATGACCATAGGGGAACTTTTTTACTGATTTCGTTTATTCCAATACATTTTTTTCTATTTATATTTACTAGTGTTTTATTGTTCAGATCAGTTCTAATTGCATCAAAGAAAAATTGGATTTTTTTATTTTCTTCGGAATCCAATTTTTCTTGTTCATGTTCTGGAAATAAATAATAAACTATTTTAAAATTCAAGCTTGATACTGATTTTTTAGAAAATTGATTAATTAGAAAAAAAAAAAAAGAGAATTCAGTTACTAATAATTTTCTATCAAATATATGAATTTTCTGTTCAAATTCTGAATAAATACTATTATTATTACTATTCTTATTAGAAAGAAGTATACTATGAATCTTATTTATCAAAATGTCATTTTTTTTGTAAGTTTTTTCATTTTTGATTGAGGGTAAAAAAGAATTTTGGATTCGTCCACGAAAGGGTCCGTTCAGCAAAGGATCATATATTTTAATTAAGTATTTTATTTTTGTTTCATCATTACACAATCTAATTCGGTTTTCAAATATATCCATAGGATAAAATTCCTTATCTAGAACTTTTGCCCTATTTAGAAATTCATTAGTTAGTTTCTTTCTTTTTTCTTCATTAGTATAGCTCCAAAAATTCGACAATTCTTTATAGGAAATTTTTTCTCTTGTGAAGGAATCCATTTTTGTTTCCAGCATTTTTTGAAAAGTCGATAAATTTTTTGGATACGAAAAAGAAATTCTTTTTTTTCCATCACTTTGACATGTATGAAAAAAAAATTCTGAAATTTCATTTCTTACGACATTTTCAAATCGATCGTTTTTTATATATCGAAATGGACGATTCCATCGTTTATAATTGAAAAGAATGTTTATAAGAAATTTTTGAGGAAATCCGAAGCTATTTTTCTCCTTGTTGATGTTGTACAAATTCTTCTCTTTTTTAGATAAAATATAAGGAAAAAGATCATTTTTGGTGGATCTTTTTTGTTTTTGTCTAGTTCGTGCCGTTTGCAAATTTCTTTCGACATACATTTTTTTTTTTTCAATTTCATTTCTTTCTTGAATTTCTATAATTTTGAAGTATTTTTCCATAAAAATTGTTTATCAATGACGAAGAAATATTTGAACTTTCGACTTTCTGATCGTCATGATAATTGAAATTATAATTCAAATTGCTTTGGGCCGTTTACCAGTGTCAGTAATTGATGATTATACAATTCGAACAATTCAAATAAAATTAAGTTAATTATAATATAATTATAAAATCTTTTTCTAAAAATAAAGATTATATAAATCAAATCATATTCGATATATTTCTATATATAAATATATGTATTTGAATAATATATATGAATAATATAAATTTGGATAATAAGAAAAATGTTATTAAAAAAAAAGAATAAATCTTAGAGGTAGATATTTTTATATTAGATATTCTATTAGTAGAAATATTCGATACATATATTATATATATACTTTAGTTTTCGTATAGTTTCAAACTACTCTTTCATAGAAAGAATGGAATGACATTGATCCTATAACTGTACCTATAGCAATTCACACTTATTATCTTAGGATTTGATTGAATTCAATGCGGAGAGAAATTTAGTATTTAGTATATAATTTTTTCCTGGTCATATCAATAAAGTCATGAAATTTCGATTTATTTATCTCTTATTTTACATATAATGGATTTGCCTGAACCGATACATGATTTTCTTTTAGTCTTTCTGGGATCGGGTCTTATATTAGGAAGTCTAGGAGTAATATTACTTACCAACCCAATTTTTTCTGCTTTTTCGTTGGGACTGGTTCTTGTTTGTATATCTTTAGTCTATATTTTATCAAACTCCCATTTTGTAGCTGCATCGCAGCTACTTATTTACGTGGGCGCTATAAATGTTTTAATCATATTTGCTGTAATGTTCATGAATAGGTCAGAATATTACCAAGATTTTCGTCTTTGGACCATTGGGGATGGAATTACTTTGATGGTTTGTACAAGTATTTTTGTTTCACTAATAACTACTATTCCAGATACATCATGGTACGGGATTATTTGGACTGTGAGACCAAATCAGATTATAGAACAAGATTTTATAAGTACTAGTCAACAAATTGGAATTCATTTATCAACAGATTTTTTTCTTCCATTTGAACTCATTTCCATAATTCTTTTAGCTGCTTTGATAGGTGCAATTGTTGTGGCTCGCCAATAAGAACTTATTCTAACTAATAATCTAAATCTGAATTCTATTTTGTTTAATTTTCTCCCAGTTATTTCCGTTGAATTCTTGTTCATATTGATGAAATGAATCAAAATTGGTAAGGAGTTGGTCAATGATGTTCGAGCATGTACTTATTTTGAGTGCCTATTTATTTTCTATGGGTATCTATGGATTAATCACGAGTCGAAATATGGTTAGAGCCCTTATGTGTCTTGAACTTATACTGAATGCAGTTAATATAAATTTCGTAACCTTTTCTGATTTTTTTGATAGTCGCCAATTAAAAGGAAATATTTTTTCAATTTTTGTTATAGCTGTTGCAGCCGCTGAAGCAGCTATCGGACCTGCTATTGTTTCCTCAATTTATCGTAACAAAAAATCAACCCGTATGAATCAATTGAATTTGTTGAATAAATAGTATTGATTATAATAAATCATAAAAAGTAGAATTTAGAATGAATAGTGTAATATTTATCAATTCAAATTAGCATGTATGATACGCAACTTAGAATCATGTTTGTGAAAATAAATAAAAGAAATCAAAGTATTTTGGTCCTATTCTCTTCTTATGAATTGATCTATAAGTCTATTTTTATTAGCAAAATTCTGATAAATCATTGATTCATCTGGTGTCTAAATATAGAATTCATTTACG